AACAACAAAAATGCCAGTCTCATGAAGGAAGTAAATGATCAGGTTTTAAAGAAAGAGCACAGTATTTTGGACACTGATTAAAAACTGAGTCCAGGTCTGTATATGGATAGCCATTCAAGAGCCAAGAAACACAGAGGTCAAAACAACACGTTTCATGTTTAAATGTAATAAAACACTGATAGTCCTCTTCCTTGTTGACAAAGCAGTTGGGGAGGTGAACTGGTGTGCCATGGAAAAGAGGAGTGGGTGTTTAGTACATCCACTACATCCCCAGATACCCTTTTCTGCAAATCCCTCCCAACTGCTACATTCCCCACCTCTGAGGGTTTTAGGTGGACTTGGATGAAGTTCACATGGTCACCTAGTAACTGGGATAGCTCAGGAGAAAAACTAGCTGAAGTTGTGGGGGAAGGACAAAAGAAGGGAACAGATCTTAAGAAAGGTGATTGTTTGGCCTATAAATAATTTTCCAGGCAGTGTGGCCAGTATGGTCGGAAAAAGTGACACACCCCTCCCCCCAGTTGTTTAAGCATCTCATCCACTAGCTGGCTCTTCTTTGCTAAGAAGAAGAAAAAGAACCAGCTATTAGGGTTTTATTAGGTTGACTGACCTGTAGCATGTAGTCTGGCCCCCAGAGACAAGATCCGTTAGTTCTCAGATCGCAATCAATCCTTTTCTCTATGACTACATCCTCTAGCTTACAAAAACAAATTTGTTGCTTTTCACAGACTGAATACTCATCATCTAATCTTGTAAGAAACTAAGCAGGGCTGTATCTGGGTTGTACTTGGAGAGAAGATCAGCCGATCATACTAGGAATCTCTTGGTAGGACTTCAGGCAGTGAATCCTGCCAAAACCTTGAAGACCTGTCACCAGTCAGAAATGACAATACTGTACTGGGCTGTATGGACCAATAATTTTTTCTCAGTATAAAGCAGCTTCCTGTGTTGGTATGTTGGAGCTAGCTTCATGTTCATTTCCGTGAGTAGTGCTCCTGCAGCAGAGCATCATCAGGGCATCCTGGGGAAAGGGACACAGAGGGAGGCAAGAGATCACTATGATAATCAGAAGCCATTTCACAGTGGCTGAAGCAGAGGATGTAACCCCTTTCACTATACCAACACTAGTAAACCTTGATCAAGAAACTGATCATTTACCCTACTGTCTTTAGTCCAGAAAAGAGCTTGAAAACCTAATCTTAGGAAGAATGGACATAGTTGGGCAGTGGTGAGATGATGCTCCAGGACCCTGCTGAGTTATGGGAGGCGTCAAGCTTTTAATTATATTCTTTTTTTCCCCTTAAAAGTGAATTTCTTGGCGCAGTGTAGGTATTGGAAGATATCTAACCATGTGCCATCTCGGTAGATGGAAAGTGCTTCATTGTATAAAGGGTGCTCCCGTTGTTTCTTTAGATACTTTTTTTAAAAATCACCCTGCCTCCTTCTGCTCAAACATTTGTATAATTTCATATTTTAATAGCTGTCCTTGCCAGAACAACTGCCATAAAGTCTTCATTCATTTATGTTGCAAACACACATTCCACTTTGTGGTCCCACTGAGAATTAAGGAAGGGTCATTCAGGCAGTTTTACTACCACCTCCCCTAAAAGGAAATCAAAACTGAATGAGACCAAATGAATATTTGCCTAACATCCTATTTTTAATGATGGCTAGTTTTGCCTGATTGAAATAAAATATCTAAAAGGACGAAAGCACTACCTTTTCTCTATCAATCATTCTGCGCCTCCAGCAGTTCTATGTTTAGAAATATCTTCTGCTTTAGCCTTAATTAATAGTCTTTGTCAATACTGATCTTGTTTATGAACTAGCCTTGTTGTTATTTTAAATCCCACTTGCAGTCGTGGCAATGAGGAAGTCATGCCAGGCTGGGGGGAAAAGCTCGACTGTTCTGGTATCCTATCTCCGAATGTGTCTAGCCAAATATTTCTGGGAAGCCTCTAAGCAGGGCATGAGAGCTTCTCCCCTCCTCTCTTGTTCATCTTCCAACAATGCGTAGATTACTTCTTATGACACTGTATTCGAAAGAAAGATTTTAAGGCATAAGAAACATAATTACTTTTATTTCCCTCACTGCATGTTAAGTTAACTGGGACTCCTTCAATACTAGAAAGATGGAAGGGGGAAGAGCTTATATTTCTTTTAATGTTTACTCAGGCAGTTCACAGTTATATGCATCCCTAGTGATTTCTTTCATATACTCCTACTGAGACATACATATTTTGTCATTTTCTATGCAACACATTTCTCTCTCTTTTTTTATCATATCTTTGTTTTGGTGGGTTGATGTGGCCAGAACATCCATTGAAAATTGAATATGTAGATGTTTAATGGATTTATATAATGGCTTGAATGTTGCATCCCATTATCATCCTACCATTCCTTCCCAAAGGCTAACATACATTTGGTCGTTGTTGCTGTTGTTTTCATTGTTTGTTTTGAAGAACCAAATCGTCATGCGATGAGCACACAACAGCACTAGGGCTCATGTTTCCAGGTTTCTAAGATCCCCTCATGGAAGCAGAAAAAAATGAGCGTTCTAGGGACCAACCCAGTTCCACAAAGATCCATGCCAACCAGTCTCCGGATCCACCTGTGTCTGGCTTCTTGCTGTCACAGTTGGCCAAACCATTCTTTCTGAAGGACCACAGCTTTCTCAGTTCCTCAGCCAGCATGGCCATTGAAATGCCTTTCCATTCACAGAGGGTCAGCCTCAGTTTATTCAATTTATCACCTCTTCTTATGTCAAAAGTGTACCTCACTCTGTGTTAATGGGCATAGGCCATCTATAGTCAGATTTTTAAAAAGATTGCCATGCATCCTCACCAGCTGGAGTAAAGAGATGTTTGTTTGACTGATTATTTGTCTTTCCCTGATGTTTACAGCAACATGCATTGCTCCATCCCCATTCTATCTTCACAACAATCTTGCTGAGGGAGGTTAGACACAGAATCAGTGTCTTGCTCAGTCCTAGCCAATAAGTGAGTTTTAATTCCAGTCCTATGAGATCAAGTATATCCCATCGCTACAGCAGCTTTCATGTAAATACATACCTAAGAAGTATTCTTAGACCAGATAAATGCAATAAGTAAATGCCTCATTGGGCAGTGCCATTCCCTCATGAGCATTGCCTGTGCTCGTTTGTGGCTAAAGAGCTCTGCCAAAGCATTTGGCAACTGCTTTCTAAGATCTACAAGTGCCGAGAAAGGCATCAGTGGTGCATCTGTTGTAAAGGAAACAGGCATTCGTGTGTTTTCCATGTCCAAGCAACAGCAACATGCAAGCTGTCACAGAGCTTTAACCTCTGGCTGCCTGCCTTTGTTCTCATTCAACAACAAAATATCAGAGCCTTTGCATCCTAAAATATGCAAGGAGATTCTGAGGGCAAGCACCAGGCTCCTAAGCCTCCTTGCTTAATTGACACCATCAGTCACTTCAGTGCATCACCCAAAAGAGATGTTCTTCAGGGACAGCTTTCTGAGAGGGCGATCATCTGTCAGTGGTTGCCTGATTGATGGCAGTTCAGGGTGATTTTAAATTCACATAGATTAATTCAGACTGTCTTCCAGAGTAGCTGGCTGGTCAAATAGAACATTTCAAAGACGCCAGTGGGAAAACAGACATGCCAATCTAACCCACCCCACTCTTTTGCATAAGTGTATTTCAGGAAACTTGGAGCAACAGAGCAAGTTATGCCTTTTCTCTTTTGTGAAACCAAATCAACTTTTTGCAAAGTCATTTGTGCTTTTGGTATGGTGAACTATAAATCCTGGTCTTTGTTTCACATGTGTTACAATGTGGACTTCACCTAGCTAGTTCTTTTGAACTGAGGCACAGTCTACCTTGCCTCCTCTCCCCCATGAGTTTGTTCAATGTTCTAGCACTGACTTCTTAGCCTGCCTTTGGCTTTAGATCATAAAGCATATTCCTGCTGGGAATCAATGTTCAAAGGAGGAGGAGGAAGGAAAGAAGGAAACTTTTTCTGTCCTGGTTCTTTATATATATAATTTTTCTGTGACTTTTTTTAATGGACTAGAAACATGGAAAAACACAATGGAAACAAAAACGAATAAGCTTGGGTTTAACTTTTTGTTCTTGCATTTCTGTAACAATAAAGGCAGCAATAAATGTTAAAGGTATTAAACCAATAAAGAAGTAAATGGACCTGTACATTCTAATGAGAAATAATAGGCTTGAGGCACTGGGAAGAAGATATAAATTTCTGGCTCTAGGTCTGTCCCATCCCATGTATTTCTTTTGTCTCATTATTTCATTATAGTATATACCTGTGGAAAATCGAATACTGGTAGGGGATTTCAAATCCACACACTCCCCCCAATCATGCCCCCTAAGGCACAGTGAATGTCCAACACTCCAGGAGCTCCCATCAAACAGGCTCACCACAGCTCTGCAGCCAATTCTAAATTTTTTTAAAAGGAATACCAGTCACAAAACTTCATGTTTTTGCTGCCTGTGAGATCTCAAAACAGTTGTTTCCAGTTTCCTGCATCAAGCTCCTACAATGAGCTCTGAAATGGCTTGATATGTCTTCCAAATTAAACTTTAAAGGAAAATTAATTACCAGAAATGGTATTGGGTGCCTGGGCAGAAAGGCAGAAACCTAGCTCCAAATGAAATCTTCTGTTAGCTTCTAAATCTGTTGGGAAGAATAGGATTAGATGCCAGGGATATCTATAGGATTAAAAAGCAATGTGTTGGGCTAATTCATCCCACCACATTTAAATGCCAGAGAGGGGGAAGGAACGGAGAAGCGGCGGGGGAACGAAAACAGCCGTCTGCTTCTATGAAATAAGAGAATCCGCTAACACTGTAGAGAACATTCTGAGCAACCCCCCTCCGCTCTCCCCCTGCCAAAAGGCGGTATAGAATGCCTAAGGAGAGAGAAAAATGTAACAATATAGGAGATAAGGTAAAGCTTCTCGTTCCACACCTTGTCAACATATTTGAATAACAAAGCTTACCTTGCCAAGCAGAGACACCTGTTAGGCGGCAGGGACGCGTGTCTCTCCAAAGCTGGATTCTTTCGAGGTTTCCCCCAATGAGCTAACCAAAGGTCCTCGGACTTTTCTTTTTTCCTGAAGGACTGACTGGACACCGTACTGCTTTGCTGTAAAGATGCTGCCTCTGTCAAGTACAGAAGGTGCTGCGCCTCCGAATCCTCTTCTCTTGCATAAGTAGCTGCCCACAGCTCTTGGTGTTGAAAGCTCTTGATTTGCTTAGCGCACAAGCGGGTCGCTCGCTCACCGCGATGCTCACATATTTGATGCGCGCTGGAAACTCCTCCAAAGACGTTGGGTATCAAGCGGCTCTGCCAAGCTTTTATTATCGCGGCGGGGAGCTGTCCGGGTCGAGGGTGCTGAAATCAAACTCCCCGCGCGGGGAGCTGGAGGAGTGCAAAGCTCCCCCCCGGAGTGGGAGCTGTCCAAACGGTATGGTGCTGAAGACAACCTCCTGGGACAAAGGGGTGGGGTGAGGACCCTTCAGGACAGAACTATGCAGGCAGGCATCGACGCCTGAAAGCGTTCGTAACATACTTCCTTACCACCACGGAGATACCGAATCAATGTCACAGGAAAAGGTTACAGCCAAGGAGCCCTCTTCATTTCCAATCCTGACCCTTGGAAGGAAAGAACTCTTTCTGCACTTAGATTTAGAATGTGGATCTCAATAAAAGAACCTGCCTGCAGCATCCTTTTGTAGGTTTGGGATGCCTCCACACATGCCTCAAACAAGTGGATTTTTCCATTTAGTGTTGCAGAAGTAGATTTGTAACTGACTTTGTTAAATGATCTTAATTTGTAGCTTTAAGCAGCTATGGGGACAGAAAGTAGATAACGATCATATGGGAGATACAAAGGTGAGGAAATAACTTGGAACAATGTTCAACCCAAAACTCTGTGGCAATCTTTGTAAGCAAGTCACCACAACCCTACAATATGAAGGGTTCCAGTGGCAACCCTTCCAAAACAACAGCAACAACAACAACAACCATGAATTTCTCAACAAATATTTTATTTATTTTATTTATTTATTTAATTTATACCCTGCCTGTCTGGTGCCATGACCCCTCTAGGCAGCTAGGATGATTAGGTGTATAAGGGCTTTCTTTGTCTCTTAATTTCATTACAGCCTGTGTTTGTGCTCTTCCCTATCCATATTCTCTTCTCTTTGGGCCTCAGACTTGGTCTATACTGTATTGGATTCACCAGTACACAACTCAGGTAAGGAGGTCTTCCCAAGAAACATAGCTTTATTTTAGAAAAGATGTAAAGCAGGATAGGCATTTTGTAACTGGACCTTACAGCAATCCCTAACCAAAAATGAAAAATACCAATTTAATTATTTGGGCGGGGGGAGTCATTTTCCATGGTTTAATGACATCCCACTGGTGAATAAGCCTGTGGTTTTGAGTGAACTTAATTCAGTAAGTGGGCAGATCAGCTTGATGGCGTGGAAAGCAAATTATTCTCATGAGTTGCTTCCAATCTAAGGATAGTTTGTGTTCAGGACTGACATGTTTTCTCCTTTCCCTTATGTTAACAGTCTCTTTAATCAACCACTAATTATGTGCTATGGGGAAACAATTCAGTCAGCAGACCATCTTTCACTGTCCAAATAAGTGTTTTTTTATTTGAGTATCTTTACTACAGAGCCTGCACAAAAATATTTTTATTATCCACTTTCGGAAGGGTAACATAGGTCTCTTGTGTACCCCAGGTTCCTGCAATATCCCTTCTCCCACCCACATTTCTTAATGGAAGTGACTCCTGGAGGAAAGGATTCGAAGAGAGATTCTTATTCATCTACTAGTTAAACTTTGCACTTTCCCCTCAATTCATATAAAAGGGCACAGATGGCTCTGTTCCTACCAATGTCATCACCACAACAACTCTGTGAGATAAATCAGGCTCAGAGAAAGTGATTGGACCAAGGTTATTCAATGGATCTCAAAGCTCAGTGGGCATTCAAACCTACTTCTCCCAAGCTGCCGTCCAAAATTCTAATGGCAAGGCCATACTGGCTTTTACAGAATGTGCTTAACCTTTTGGGATGTATAGCTGGAATTTTACAGCCTTGAGATTTCCCATCCTTAGCAAAATGTTAGGTTAAACATATGTTTCTAGATTATAAGAATCTTACCTTGCTGGTGTTGAAAGAGCTCAGCTAACTTCCATCCCATTCTCAAACTCAGTCCAAGGTACCAGCGCTCACTTTATACATCTCTGTGTGGTTTGGGATCCAGGTAGCAGAACAGACATTCGCTTCTGTACTAAACTGCTTGTGCAAAGCATGTGTCCCTCTGCTGAGACTCTCCTCTGAGTGTTCCTGTCTTTAAAGGAGCAATGGGTGACAACTAGTGCTGGGCAAAACTAGCCATCTTAGTGAAATTGGAAATTGAGCTAAATTGGAGGGGAGAAGACAATTTTATGGATCTTCACCTAAATAAGGGCTGGAAAACCATTGGCCCTCCAGATGTTATTGGACGACAACTTCCATCAGCACACTGAATTGAGAGGAGTTGTAACTGAAGTGAATTTGAACAAAATGCATTCCCAAATCAACTTTGTAATTCATGATATGAAAATAATACAATACATAACAAACACCTTATCAGCATCTCCCCTTTCCACAGGTAAACTCTTTTCTAGCGTGTCTTCTCTTCTAAGATTTCCTTCAAGTATGGTAACGTCAGGGTTTGGTTTGGTTTTTTTGTGCTTCTGGAGGGAGTTCAGGCTTCATTTGATCCTTTATTATCTTCCTTGTGGCTCATGGTATCAATAAAGATTTCCTCCAATCCACATTTTGAATGAATCAATTTTATTTCCTGAATGGATTGATTTTGTTTCCAGTCTGCATTCTCCAGTGACCATACAATGGACACATCCATTGTGGGAACTGGAAACACCACAAGATCAACAGTCTTGGCCTTGATATCTGGTGACACACCCTTAATTTTAAGGATACTTGGTAGTTGCTTTGTAGCTGCCCTTCCAAGTATCAGTCTTTTTCTGATTTCTCATCAGCAGTCTCCAAGGTATAGACAATAATTAATTATGTATGTTGATTTTTTTATTTGCAACATTAAACTTATATGATTCTTTTATATATATATAAAAGAATCATATAAATCATATAAATCATATATATAACCAAAAATACAAAATAAATAAAACACAATGAACCAAATAACTCCCCCCCATAACACAAAAATGTCACAATAATAGAAAAAGTGGCCCCCTGGGCCATCTGGAGATATAACTAAATTTTCCTTCATTTCCTTCATTTTGGAGTACCCTTCTTCTACCAGAACTGCATTGATTCTTGTGAACATACACATCCCTTCAATGTCTTGAATAGGAATGTATATCAAATATTTCTATTTATTTATTTATTTATTTATTTTGTTTTCCACATTTTTGGCATATACTTTTTAGGATTTAATAGATTCAGTATCTGTAGTTTGAAATAATTATTTTGATATCCTGTCTATTCCTGGTGATTTAATTTTTTCATGTGTTTTGACAGCAGCTTTCACCTCACTTTCTAAAATTACAAGTTTTTCATGACAGTGTTTGTCTTTGAAAGAATCTGTCATCCTTGATTCTCTTCCATATGGTATATTGTTTCCATCTTCCCTTTATTTTATCTTGATCAGATAAGATGCACCTCTTCAATATTTTTCTAACCTTGTTTTGAACGTTTTAAAGGTTTGATTTACCTTTTATGAGGGATCTCTTGTTTCCCATCTTTTATAGTTCTGTTCTATTTCATTGCATTGTTTATTATAATAGTTCTCTTTGTACCTACAGTATATGACAAATGGTGAAAAGTAGCATTTAGGATTCTGACCTTGTCCTCTTTTACTTTTGCTTCTCATCTGTCATTAACAATTTCAAGAATTTTTTCAGTCATCTATTGAGGTTTTTTATTCCTTTTGAGTACAAGAATATTCTTTTTGCACTCTTTCCTCAAGAATTTTTCAGTCATCTATTGAGGTTTTTCCATTCCTTTTGACTACAAGAATATTCTTTTTGCACTCTTTCCTTGTCTCTAGTTCACTCCAGAGTTCTTCAGGTTTGTGGTCAATGGAGTTTGGTATTGCAAATCTGTTCTACTGCACTCCTTGTTGGGTCCTTTCTTTAATTCTGCAGCTGGTTTTTAATTGATAATTCATTTAATTGTGGTTTTATTAATATATAACTTACTACCTTTTAAAGTGTATCTAGGTACAGTATATCAGTTTATACTTTGAGCCACCTTGAGTTTTGTACTGGAAGAAAGGTGAGAAATGAAATAAGATAAAAATCCCTCATCTGATGAATCTTGTTTTGTCTGGTCCACTGATTTCTGCTACTGTCATATTGCTGTTTCATATTGAACAATTAGGATTATGTTTTGATTCTCACCTTGTAAGCAACTCTGGAATCTTCAGGTCAAAGAGAGCAAGACCCATTGTAAGGTATTATCAGAAAGCAAATTCAGCCGCATACAATGGTTCATTCTTTGCCCATTGTACAGCAGTGTTGGTTCTTTTAAGTTCTTAGACCATTCAAGAAGCAATGGGTGTAATATTTTAATGGAAAAAATTAGAAAATTTCAGATCAGAATTAACTGAAGCATTTGGAATTTCTGCTAATATTTTCCCTTCCTGATTATCAGCTACAAGACTTTCAAAAAGTTTTCTTCTGCCTGATGCCCACAATGTTTCTTATTCTTGTGGCTCAGCCAATGTGTAATGTAAGACTATAACCTCTTTCCCCCTTTTCTTGCCTCAGACACAAGAAAGTGGTGCCAATAGAGGCTATTAGAATTTTAAAAACCTACCCTATTTTAAGACAACAGAATTCCCCATCCAGTTCTGTTTTAACATTCCTTGCAATGGCATCCGCCATCAAGGCATCTGGAAACTGGGCCTTGCTGAGCACCTCTGAACATGACCAAACATCAGCCAGAAAAGCAGAGATGATTTTTTTTTAAAAAAAAGAAATACAGTACTCCATGTAACTATCGTGGCTAGAAATTCCCCCTTTGAAGGCATCTGACTTATTGGACATCGTTGCTGTATCTCCTGGCAGCAAATTCTATAAATTAATTATGCACTGTGAAAGTAGAACTTCCTTTTGTCTGCACTGAAAGGACTGTCAATCAACTTAATTGGACTACCCAAAGTTCTAGTGTGAAGGGAGATGTCATATCTATCCTCAGCTAAT